CAAATTCCTCTACAAGCCAAATTGGGGATATAGGACTATCAGCTGATCAGTTTCAGAGGTTGCTGGCCTTTATGCAAAATCAAAATCAGAGTCAAGCTTCCACTAATCTAGTCTCAACCAATGTTGCTATGAAGATGGACAATTCAGGGATGAGGCCTACCTTCAAGTCCACTCCTGATGATCTCAATGAAGGTAGCCTTGTTTCTAATCTTTTTGCTAATACTGCTGTTAGGCCTAGCTTATGGATTATTGATTCAGGGGCAACTGATCATATCATCTGTTCCCTAGAATACTTTGAAAAGTGTGAGGCAGTACATGGGGTTCTTGTGAAATTACCTAATGGAGAAACAGTTAGTGTTAGTCATGTGGGAGAAATCAGAATGCATGAGAATATGTTGCTGAAAAATGTGTTATGCATTCCTTCATTCACTTTCAACATAATTTCTGCCAGTAAGTTGACTAAGCAGTTTTCATATAAACTTGTTTTGGATGCTAATTCTTGTCACATCCAGGGTCTTCATGGGAAGATGTGTGGTTTTGCTAGGGAAAAGGATGGATTATACCTGTTGATAGATCCGCCAACCAGAAGAAAGAAGCACTGTGTTGATGAGATTACTAGAGCTCAGTGTAATGGCTTATCTTTACAGTTGTGGCATAATAGATTAGGGCACTTCCCTATGAATAAGATGTCTTTTTTAGATGGAATAAAGCATGAGCAGTTTTCAAAATCATATAAATTTGCTTGTGATGCATGCCATTTTGCTAAGCATAAGAGATCAATGTTTCCTATAAGTAGCTCTAGAACTGATAATTGTTTTGATCTAATTCACATGGATGTTTGGGGTCCCTTTGCCATTGCCTCTCCAAAGGGGGAACACTATTTTCTAACTATTGTGGATGATCATAGCAGATTCACTTGGTTACATCTAATGAAAAATAAGTCAGAAGTTGCAGTGCTCTTTCAAAGATTCTATCACTATGTTCTTAATCAATTTTCTGTGAGCATTAAGGCAGTAAGAACAGACAATGGAAGGGAATTTTACATGGACTCTTTTTGCAGTGAGAAGGGAATTGTTCATCAAAAGTCATGTGCCTACACACCCCAACAAAATGGAGTTGTTGAGAGAAAACATCAACACATATTAAATGTAGCTAGAGCTATAAGGTTCCAATCTGGCCTTCCAATGAACTTTTGGGGACATTGTGTTCTCCATGCCTGCTACCTTATAAACAGACTGCCAACCCCAATAGCTGATGATAAGAGTCCCTTTGAGGTTCTTTTTGGAAAAATCCCAAGGTATGATCACCTGAAAATTTTTGGATGTTTATGTTATGCTGCTACAACTTCACAGGGAAGAAATAAAATGCAATCAAGGGCCAGAAAGTGCATTTTTTTGGGAGTTCATGCTAATATAAAGGGCTACCTATTGTATGACATTGTTAACCAAGATGTTTTTGTGTCTAGAGATGTTCAGTTTTATGAACACATGTATCCCTTCCAGGAAGAGAAGAAAAATTCTGGTACTAATGCCAATCAACCTGAGAATGAAGAGGTTAAAGAGGATGATTCTTTGCTGGTTTGCCCTTCAAATAATACAAGAAGCCCTGGTCTTTCACAGAGAACTAGTGATTCTGTTAACACTGAGAGAAATAATACCACTTTTAATGGTGATGATGTTACACCATACAGTCTTGACAGCTTAGAAGATGATTCTGCCTTACAGCCAGCCAATGAAGTTATCAATGAGAAAGGGGTTGAGGACACCATGGTCTTGCATGATGTGAGCAACAGTCAGCCACAACACAGGAGGTCTATGAGAGTAAAAAATGTTCCTGCTAAGCTTCTTGATTATTATTGTCAGACATTGGCCAAAGACACATCTAAAACTACCCCTCACCCTATTAGCAATTTCATCTCTTATGAGAATTTAACTCCTAGTCACAGATTTTGTACTTCCACCATTCTTTCTGTTGTTGAACCACATTCTTACAGTGAAGCTGTTAAACATGAAACATGGAGAGAAGCCATGCAATCTGAAATAAATGCCTTGGTTGAGAATAAAACTTGGATACTCACAGAATTGCCTCAAGGAAAGACTCCAATTGGCTGCAGGTGGGTATACAAGATAAAGCACAAAGCAGATGGATCCATAGAAAGGCATAAAGCTAGATTAGTTGCTAAGGGATACAATCAGCAATTGGGAGTTGATTATGTTGAGACATTCTCCCCTGTGGCTAGAATGACAACTATTAGGATCTTCTTGGCTGTGGCTGTTGCAATGAAGTGGGATATTCAGCAATTGGATATCAACAATGCATTCTTACATGGAGATTTGGAAGAAGAAGTATATATGACCTTACCTCCTGGCTTTCAAAATAGCAATCCAAAAGTGGTTTGCAGGTTAGTTAGATCACTGTATGGCTTGAAACAAGCTAGTAGACAGTGGAATGCAAAACTCACCAAAGCTTTGTTAGACAATGACTTTCAACAGTCCAAGGCAGATCCCTCACTGTTTACCAAGGGTATAGGGACATCATTCATTGCATTACTCATTTATGTGGATGATATCTTAATTGCAGGGGCAAATTCAAAGTTAATTGATGGTCTTAAACAGTTTCTGGATGCAGCTTTCAAAATCAAAGACCTTGGGCATCTCAATTATTTTTTGGGGATAGAGGCATTCAGGGATTCCAGTGGCCTGAATCTATGTCAAAGGAAATACACCCTTGAGATATTGAAGGAAAATGGTTTCCTAGATGCTAAGCCCACTTCAACACCCATCCTTCCACGTCAGAAACTAACTAGCATGGAGGGCAACCAACTTGAAAAACCAGAAGAGTACAGAAGGTTAATAGGGAAGCTTCTCTATTTGACAAGTACCAGGCCTGACATTACTTATGCTACACAGCAGCTAAGTCAGTTTGTTGACAAGCCTAGAGACACACATCTTATTGCAACCCATAGAGTATTGAGGTATCTCAAAGGTTCTCCTGGAAAAGGCTTGTTTTACCTTGTGAACTCTCAAGTAAAGATACAGGGATTCTCTGACTCAGATTGGGCAACATGTGCAGAGTCAAGAAAATCCATTACTGGATATTGTGTATACCTTGGAGAATCTTTAGTTTCTTGGAAAACAAAGAAGCAGGCAACAGTATCTAGATCTTCTTCTGAAGCAGAGTACAGGGCTTTAGCCTCTTGTGTTTGTGAATTGCAGTGGATATTATATCTGTTGGGTGATTTAAGAATTGATCATGGCAGTCCATGTGCATTGTTTTGTGATAATCAGTCTGCTATTGCTATTGGAGAAAACCATGTCTTTCATGAACGCACCAAACATATTGAGATTGATTGTCATGTGGTCAAGCAAAAGGTTAATGAAAGAGTGGTTAAACTGTTTCCTATTTCATCTCAAAGGCAGGTTGCAGATGGATTTACCAAAGCCTTACCAAAGCTGAATTTTGATGTTTTTCATGATAAGCTGGGCCTTCAAGACGTTCATGCTCCAGCTTACGGGGGGTGTCAAAATAAGTAGTGTTTGTTATATAGACTTGTTGTTGTTAAAGGGGGTAGTATTGTCTTTTCTCACCCTTTCCCTTTTTGTTAATTCCGGTTGTACCAGAACATATAAGGAAGTCTTCTTCCTTCCTTCTCTGTATCTTCTTCATTCAATTGTTCCACAATCAATGAAACTGCTCAGTTCTACTTTCCATCTCAGCTCAGGCTAGCTCATGCCAAACTTTCATCAATCACATTTGTAACAATTGAAATAATATGTTATTTCATTCCAAAATACATAATTTGGGTCATTGTTAATTTGTCAATATATTTGTCAACATGTTTGCAATTCATTAATTAGCACATATCGATGTGCAGTGCTTGCTGTTTCTCTATATTAGTTAGTCGAAAAGTTGAAACATTGCCTACTTGTTAACCAATTTATTTGAAGATAGTCGTGTTTTCTCTACGCCTTACGATAGTGTTCTACCATAGTCTCTACAATCATGATCCCCGAACCGAGCACCCACATGTGACCATGAACAACGATGCCACCGTCACAACCATCTAGCGATCATGATCACCGAACCGAGCCCCCATTAATTGGGGGGGGGGGGGGGCTGGTGTTTTTTGCGGCCACAACATTTTGGTTCAGGTTACACCATTGCCATAGGCAGTAGGCAGTAGGCAGTAGGGTTGGGCATTATTTGAGGTTAACACAGATATGCATACTGCCAAAAGTTGATTGCTACAAAGCAGATCATATTAACCCATTATATTGATTTCTGTTCATTGGTTGCATCTGACGGCTGATGAATCAATATATTATAAATAGATGTTAATTGAAACATACTGCCTAGAAGTTGATTAGTTGAACCTTAACTATGGTCCCTTTATGTGAGCCACACCATGTGACCATCTCTGCTGTATGTTGATTGGGTGATTATCATTAAAATCAACCCAAATAAGTAATACTAGCATGCTGAGGGATTTGGGTGATTATCATTACAATCATATAACCCCCAAAAAGAAAAATGTGGGTAGAGCACATAGGGACTCCATACGTTGATTATTTTTTGTTGGTTGTTTCCTGTTTGTTTTGTTTTTTTTTTTTTCTTTGCAACTCTCTACTATTGCTCGTTTTGATTTTGTCCATATTTCCTTGGGTTCCTCGTAGGGGCAACCGGGCCAAAGAGTGTTAGCGAAGGTGTGTATACCACCATATATACCAGTTAAGTATTGGTGGCCTACCGTGGATAGCACCGTGACCCCGTTCGTTGGGCACCGCTTCAAAACACTAGCGGAAGGTGTACACTACTATATGACCTATGCAAGAACATGCGGGTTTTCTGTGAGACATAGCTCCCTGAAGCGAGGTTGAGGCGGCCAAATTACCATGCGTTACTTAGTCTGTAGCCGGGAGGGAGTAAAGAGGGGCGGTTGGAGCAAGCCTGCCCCCGTGGATGGGGACGGTGGTGGTAAGAGCACTCAACGTAGGAGACGAATGTCGAACAGAGTTAAATGCAATGCTAGGATTTGCATCAAAAGGGACACTGGTGGGGATTTTGTGGTCTCAATCTTTGTTGAGGAATACACCCACAGCATGTGCTCCAGGCCTTCAAACATATTCATGCGGATCAACCGGAAGCTCGATGTGGCACAACAAGCATTCCTTGCAAATTGTATTAAAGCTAATGTCGGTGGTTCAGAAGGTTTCCGGCTATACAATGAGGCAGTGGGATCGTTTGCTAACGTTGGTGCAACAACTATGGAATTCCATAATTTTAAACGAGACCTCCAATCATATGTTGATGAGAAGGATGGAGAGATGATTATTGCAAAATTTAGACAGAAGCGCGATGTTTGCGGGGACTTTTTCTTCAACAACCATCTTATTGACGAAGGCCATCTTGACGTCTTTTTTTGGGCTGACCACGTCGGTCGTCAAAGTTTTATGAGCTTTGGTGATGTGATTACTTTCGATGCAACCTACGGTACGAACAGGTACGGTAACACGTTTTGGTTACACATCCTTATTTCATTCATCCATTACATTCACCCTAGTACCCCCCTAAAGAGTGTGAACTGTAATATCAATTAGATTCACCACACTAGTATGAAGTGCACGGCTATAATATTAATTAAATTCACCACACTAGTATGAAGTGCACGGCAATATTATTAATTAAATTTACTAGCGGTGCTTATTCCACAGGTTCACCGAGGTAATGTGTTGATGTGTACTTATGCAGGTACAGTTTGGTGTTTGTACCTTTCACTGGGGTAGACAACCACAAACGATGTATTACATTTATTGCAGGGATGGTAACTAGGGAGGACATTGTTTCATACGTGTGGGTTTTAGAGAGATTTAAAGTTGCAATGGGAAAGAGCCCCTTGTGCGTTGTTACTGATCAAGACCCAGCTATGAAGATCGCTATTGCTCGAGTACTGCCGGAGTCCCAGCACCACTATTGTATGTGGCACATCATGACCAAAGTTAGTGAGAAACTAGGCGGTGCATTAGCGCATGACGAGATATTCTGTAATAAACTTAACAATATTGTGTGGAATGAAACCATTGTCATTAGTGAGTTTGAGGCGCAATGGCAATCGTTAATGGAAAAGCACAACCTAACAGGGCACCGGTGGTTTACAAAATTATACGCGGAGCGGGAGTTTTGGATTCCTGTCTATTTCTTAGACTTGCCCATGAGTGGGTTGTTACGCACCACATCCCGGTCAGAAGCAGAGAATAGCGTGTATGGGAAGAGCACCCGCCCGCACTGTAGTCTGGTTGAGTTCTACATGCAATTTGAAAGCGTCCTTGAAACACAACGCCATACACAAGATAAACTGAATGCTGAGAGTGAGGGGTCCTTACCGGAACTCAAAACTCCTTCAGCAATAGAGCGACACACAGCGCAGGTATTCACCCTAACAATTTTTTATGAGCTCCAAAAAGCGATTGAATCTACATATTTTTACTGTGGGGTGGTAGGAATCCGTGAAGATAGGGGGGTGATTTATTACAACATTAGAGGGAGCCACAATGCTACCCATACTGCTGAATATAATCCGATGGGGGTTAGTGAGTTGTGCAACTGCAAGTTGTTTGAAAGATTAGGGTTGGTCTGTCAGCACATGTTTTCGGTGTTCAAGGCTGCATAGTTAGATAGCTTGCCACCTAATTGCATTGCTCCCCGTTGGTGCAAGCACATAGGGCTAGGTTGCTAATGTGCGAGACGCTCCGACTGCCCTTCCACAGAATCGGCCCCAAATAGATTGTGGACTGAGATACACGGTTGCCTTGCACTGGTAAGAAGTAATACAGCGCGCCAGTCACGAATGCTAAAGGATTTGAGGTACGAGTTCTTGGGTGATGGTATGACTGTTGACCTCACAAAGGGTAACGGTGTCTCCATTGCGGCTTTGTGCGGTGTGCAACCTCCGGCCTCAATAACTATCAAACCCCCCGCCCAGGCGAAAAACAAAGGGACTGCAAAGCGGATAAAAAGCCAACGCGAGTTAGCCATTGAGAGAAGTGTCAATGCGGGCCGAAAATGCGGAGTGTGCAGAGAGTACGCTCGTCATAATGCCCGCAGTTGTCCTCTGAAGTTAGTGGTGCCTTAATACCGCCCTCTGGTTGCCCCATTTCCCGTTTAGTAATTTAGTAATAATACCATAGTGACGTGTGCACTGTTATTGTGCCCTCTGGTCAGTCCTGTTTGTTTTCACATTGCATGCTTAGAATCTTAATAGTTTTCATTGCATTTTTTTACTTTACTTCCCATCTCTATATTCTATTTCTGTTGTTTTTTCCTCACTCGGATTCTTGAGAAAGCAGCCCCAATTAAACAAGGTCACAAGTTTTGTATTCTCCTTTAAGTTATTTAAATAATCATCTAATTTAACAAACAAATGGAAACAGTCAACATCCATAAGGTAATGAAAGTGATGATTATGTGGGTTTAAGTTAATTATGTAGGACCTTTTAAGTATTTAAATAATCATCTAATTTAATAAACAAATGGAAGCAGTCAGCATCCATAAGGTAATAGAAGTGATGATTATGGGGTTCAAGTTAATTAGAACCTAGGTAAAATAGTAAATTTTTCTATTTTTATCCTAGGTGAAATAGCAAATTTTTCTATTTTTATCTCCCATTCAATGGCCGAAGCTGAAAATATCAAGTGATTCTAAGCACAAAAATTAAAATTCTTTATGACAAGATAGTAGTAGTGGACTATTATACCTAAATACCACAATTACAACCAGTGCTCGACCGCCGAGACCTGGAAATACTAATGGCCGTGGGGGTTTAAGTTAATTACATTGGTAACAAATTAACAATTATTATAAGCACATCAGTCACATTATTAACCCAAAACAAAAATAATAATGTCCCTGGCACTGCACCCCTACAACCTTTATCCACAAAAACTAACACCCACCCCCCACACTACCACTAAGTTACCATGCTCCCTACATATTTCCGTTGTAGTCAGTGTTCAAATCACTGAGGTCGGTGTGGTGCACCTTTGCATATCCGTTCGGTCCTGTTGCGGTCATACTCCCCCGCTCGTGTGCGAATACTTTGCATGTTGTCATTCACTTGTGCATGGGAACATGAGGAGATGGCTCATGCACAACATCCTGCTTAGTACAGTGAATGACAACATACAAAGTATTCGCACACGAGTGGGGGAGTTAGACCGCAACAGAACCAAACGAATACCAAGTGATCTCCCGTCCGAAGCCCACACCCCCAACTAGTTGCCTCATTGCCAACAAATGTCTCCATGTGTCTCATTGCATACACTCCAGAGTCCCCGTTAGCAGCGGTGTCACTCCATGCCAGCCGCATCCTCTCTGGTTGCATGTCCCTCAATCGGAGCGCACGAACAGTGTGTTGTTTGCTATCCAAATACGCGGCTAGAAGGTCCCTCTGCAAGTTAGGATTACATAAATTAAATATGGACCGTACCACTAGTTGTCTATACAGCACAGTTTAGAACTTGTCAGTGTTGAGAGTGCATTTTGCTTACCAATTCCTCTGGTGCTCCCCCGTACCCTTCTGTGGTCATGTCTGCGGTGGATGAGCTGTCCATGATGACGAACTTGGAATGCTTAAAACTGATGCACATCACATAGAAGCGTGGCCTGCGCAACTTGGCGTCCACCCATGCAGCGCTGGCGTGGTTCTCGGTACATCCCTTGCCCCGACGACCACCCTATCAACATATAAAAGCTGCAAGAAAAAAAACCACATTACAAACAAGAAAACTGCAGGACATCCATACGCATGTACCAATACTACCCTACACTTACAATCAGGAACAACAACGGGCCTAGGAATTTCCCCGTAGAGCGCTGCATCCAGCTTGCGTGCGTACTGACCAGTGTTCGCAAGAGGTACCCACATCAATCCAACTCTCTAACCTTGGCAACGTCACGGAACATATGCACGGTTCTCTGGTTCGCATAGCCATTGAGGGTGCTAGCGATCAAGGTACTAACCACTACCACACAGAAATGCCTCTTAAACCACACACCGACATCTTTTAGCTCTAAGAGCTGCGTAGTAAGTGCCTTAACGGTGATATTGCCTTCCCGTTTTTTAACTTTAATCCTCCACGACTGCAAGTCAGGGTTTATAACTTGGCTATCACGCTCTGTGATCGGAATCACCCCATTCGAGAGCCCAAGCACCGCTGCCACGTCTTCCTTCGTGATGCTGATGGATCTCCCATGGCTTAAGTTTATCTTCATTTCCGAGGGGTCAAAATTGGTGAGCAACCAATGCCCAAGCCGCAGCAGTAGTACATGAACCCGCAATCCCAACAGCCCTCCCATGCCCATCGCACACACATCCTGCCTCTGGCGTGACGTGAGTAAAAGCGACAAGTCGTACAAGCTCCCTTGGGCTCCCCCGTGTCGAACGGGTGGCTTACAGGGGCCGGCACACCATGGAGTGGTTGCGCATCCTGAAGGTCGTCGAAATCCCCAAGCGGTGTGTGAAAATCTTCATTTGTATCACTGCCATCGTCGCTGCAAACCACTAGGTTCCGTTCATCGCGACCTGGAAGACCGCGACAACATACTACAGTAGATTAGTGCAAAAGAAACTATACACAAAGCATATAACTCCCATCCAGGGTTACTATATACAGAAGCCAACAAGATAATAGTGACACCGAAAACACCTCATTAAAAACTAGACTGTGATACCTAAGTTAATCAAGCAGACCTGAAATCAAGGAACATAAATGACTAATTGCTTAACATTGATCACCGAACTATGAACCTAACCTCCCTTAGGTATCTATCTTCAGTAGGCTACCCCGGAAATAATGCCCCTTTGCTTTTCTTTTTTTTTTTTTTTTTTTTTACTTAGTTCATTGCAACCAAGGAACAGAAATGACTGATTGCTTAACATTGATCACATTTAGACAACAAACTATGAACCTACCCTCCCTTAGGTATCTCATTGCATATAAAAACTAGTCTACCATAACTAAGACAATCAAGCAGACCTGAAATGCCCCAGATCACATTTAGACACCGAACTATGAACCTACCCTCCCTTAGGTATCTATCAGAAGCTACACAACGCATATAAACCCCATCCAGGCCCTTGAACACCCCGCTTATAGACTGATTTCAATAGGCTGCCCCAGAAATAATGCAAACATTGATTGCAATGCACCGAGTATTTAAAAAAAAAAAAGAAAAAAAAAATCAGAGTAGCATTAGAACTATAAATTTGACCTTTTCTGATCAATAGAACTATAAATGTAGTTTTTAAACATACATACATATACAAGGATGGAAGGAGTATTAGTTTTTAATTCCTTGAAACAAGATTATTCCTTTTCAAAGCCACCATATCTTTAAAATTCCAATCCACTTTGCAACTGTTTTGGAGTTTTTAGTTTGTCTCTGTGCAAAATCTGTTAGTTACATAACTTACATAGGCTCTTCTGTTAAGATACGTCTTTGAACCAGCATGCATGCATACCAGAAATATAAGTGCATGTATTCAAACTAACACTACACAAGAACTGCATGACAGATTAGAGTTTTAATTATTTTAATTGTATTTTCATTTTTAGTTTTAATTTCATTTTTTTGTGTAACTCAGAGTTTTCACTTCCGGTCATAGTGACTAATTTACTAGCTGGCTTTAAAAAAAATAGTGTCAAATAGTGCAATTAAATCCAATAATTAAAAAAAACACCTGTGGTATGCTTTTCCTAAGTCACATATCCCTATTGACAACATTACATTGACAAAGTCAAATTCTGAAGCAGCAGGCGAACTAATGGTCCTCCCATCCGAATCCTCAAAAAGAGAATAGAAATCCATTGAAAATGTGTGGCGTTGCGGTGTTAGATAAAGGAATACCTCTGCAAGCATCAAACGGAAATTTCATCACAACAGTAGAATTTGGGGGTGTTAATCAAGTCGAATTGGAAACTGGACACTTCTGACTCTTGGGGAATGATAACCAACTAAACATACTATTCGTATATCGGAGATCTATGGTGTTTATGCAACGATTACTGGAAGAAGTTACCTGAGCAGGAATGGCGAAGCGTCAAAGTAGAGCAAGCGGCGGTGGAGGGCTGAGGCAAACCCTAAAGTCTCTAAAATAATGGGCAAAGAGCATCCATAATAGAAGGGATATTTTGTGGTTTTTGATAAGTTTTCGTATGTGTGATTAGGAAAGAGAATATGCAAATTATATCGTGCACCGCGCATCAACGACGTCCTTTTATTTAATGAAAGGAAACGGAATCCATTCACAGTTCCGCAGTTTCAGTTCAACACAATTACAATTTCATCCAATATTTATACACTCAAAAAATATTTACCATATATAATATTGATTTTAGTTTTTTTTTTTAATGATTTTTCTTAATTACCATCTATTATATTATTTTCTTTACTTAAATATCTCTGCATTCCATTAGTATAAACTTTAGTAACGGAATATTCCGTTAACTATTTATTATTCTTAACTTATTAATTTATATAAGAAATGCCTTTAAGTTAGAACCACATCCCAATTAGAGTTGACATAATTGTTAAACATATACAACGAATATGTTAAAATTTATTAAAAATACAACATAAAATTAAACATGATCAAATAATTAGCCCGACTAAATACATTGAATTCAAAGTTAAACATCAAAAGTTATAAATTATAAACCTTGAAAATAATTAATCTAACTAATACATATACATTTAATTAATTTAGAATTAGATGTTTATAATGTCTTTATAGAAAATCAATCTTTTGGCCTCCACTTCCTAAGTCTAATCGACCTTGGATCCAAATCCCATTCCCCCGTCGACTTGTAAAGGTGGTTGATTGATACAACACTGAGGTTGTATGAGTTGCTCTTCTTCGAGTCATGAGCTAAACTCCAGAAAAGGGAGAGAAAGAGATATGGTTGTGCTTCGAGTGACAGTCTAACTCCAATTAACTATGCTTCGAGTGATAGCCTAACTCCAAAAAAAGGAGATACGAGAAGAGAAATTGTCATTATATTCTTCAGTGTTTTCTTTAAGTGCATAGGTGACTATATATATACAGGATCATAGAAACTATCCACTACCCATGTATCTCACTACTTGTATAATTACCCCTTATTCCAGTGTAAACTAAACCACTAATAATAATAATAATAATAATAATATAATAATAATAATAATAATAATAATAATAATAATAATAATAATAATAATAATAATCTACTATACTAATAAGAACCCAAGAGAGTTGGGCCTATAATGGGTAGAAAAAATGACGGTCAAATTTTTTAATCAAATGAATGGCTCAGATTGATCAGATTTTAATTTTTTCTTAAGATTTACTAATTTATCCTTAATGAATATGATTATCCGTTAACTTTTCCGTTAAATACTATCTTTTCCGTTACTTTTTGTTAGTTCACCGTTAACTTACTCATTGATTTCAATAAGAAAGGTCTTAGGTTCGAACCTCATCCTAATCAAAGTTGGCATAATTAGTACTCTATTTTAGTCTTATTAAATTAAATTATATTATATATAAATAATAATTTAGTTGCTACAACAAAAAATAATACATATGCATTTCTTTAATTTAGAATTATGTGTCTACAATGTCGTTATTCAAAAAAAAAATTATTCATTATCAATAAATTAAATAAGAGAAATAATTTCATTAGTTATATTGTCTTTATTTTTCTCCAATATAAAAATTCTTTACATTCAAATTCATCAATTGATTATATTCGCTACATTATCCCTAAAATGTCTTTACTATAAAAAAAAAATTATTCATTATCAATAAATTAATTAAGAGACATAATTTTTGTCTTTATATTTCTCCAAGTAAAAATTCTTTACATTTAAATTTCAAATTCATCAATTGATTATATTCACTACATTGTCTATTATTTTTTTTTGTGCACTATTTTTTAATTAAATATCAAAGTTATAATACAAAATAATGCTATATAGTTGTTTGCCAAGTATCTTATTAATACCATGAAAAATTTTAAAAAATATAATTAATAAAGCCAATCATATTAACTATCCAGGGGATTTGTTGACAAAGAGTCTACTATACTAATAAGAGCCCAAGAGAGTTGGGCCTATAATGGGTAGAAAAAATGGCGGTCAAATTTTTTAATCAAATGAATGGCTCAGATTGATCAGATTTTAATTTTTTCTTAAGATTTACTAATTTATCCTTAATGAATATGATTATCCGTTAACTTTTCCGTTAAATACTATCTTTTCCGTTACTTTTTGTTAGTTCACCGTTAACTTACTCATTGATTTCAATAAGAAAGGTCTTAGGTTCGAACCTCATCCTAATCAAAGTTGGCATAATTAGTACTCTATTTTAGTCTTATTAAATTAAATTATATTATATATAAATAATAATTTAGTTGCTACAACAAAAAATAATACATATGCATTTCTTTAATTTAGAATTATGTGTCTACAATGTCGTTATTCAAAAAAAAAATTATTCGTTATCAATAAATTAAATAAGAGAAATAATTTCATTAGTTATATTGTCTTTATTTTTCTCCAATATAAAAATTCTTTACATTCAAATTCATCAATTGATTATATTCGCTACATTATCCCTAAAATGTCTTTACTATAAAAAAAAAATAATTATTCATTATCAATAAATTAATTAAGAGACATAATTTTTGTCTTTATATTTCTCCAAGTAAAAATTCTTTACATTTAAATTTCAAATTCATCAATTGATTATATTCACTACATTGTCTATTATTTTTTTTTGTGCACTATTTTTTAATTAAATATCAAAGTTATAATACAAAATAATGCTATATAGTTGTTTGCCAAGTATCTTATTAATACCATGAAAAATTTTAAAAAATATAATTAATAAAGCCAATCATATTAACTATCCGGGGGATTTGTTGACAAAGAGATTATTCAAATCACACAACAAATTGAAGTAAGAATTACCCCGCAATGTCCTTGTTTGACAATCAGCAGTTAGCAGTTAGCGTTAGCGGATTATATTAGCGAATTTGATCAGCGAATTATATCAACGGTTGGTAAAAAGATATTTGAAAAAATTACTTGTTGTTTAGATTAACATGTAAAATAACCTAAGGGTATACATATTATAATAATAATAATAATAATAATAATAATAATAATAATAATAATAATAATAATAATAGTTTTATATATATATATATATATATATATATATATATATATATATATATATATATATATATAAGCCAATCATATTAACTACTTGATTATTGACAAAAAAAGTATTCAAATCACACAACAAATTGAAGTAGGAAACTACCTCGCAATGTCCGTGTTTGGCAATCAGCAGTTAACTTTTCAATATTAGTATATATTTAATATTTTATGCCCTAATTTTAATTTACTTTCCCTTATGTCCCGTATTTGGTTTCAACCATACCTATACAATTATTTTATTGACAATTATAATCAATCTTGACTATATTATCTTGCATTTGTAAACTTAAAATTACCTATTTAAATACGTAAATTTAACATTCAATTATCTATGCACGAACAATTCCAATATAATCTTGCCTTGATATACTTTAAAGTATTTATTTAAAAAAAATATTGGGCATTATCTCAATCGCGCAATGCGTGTAAAAAACTAGTAATAATAATAATAATAATAACAACCACAGCAACACCATGGGTGTATCATTGATGAACTTATAGTTGATGTAAATTTTTTTTAAAGTCTGTAATTAAGTTCCTATTACCAAATTCAAACAAAACGATTCTAAAAAAAAAAATCTCAAAACAAAGTACTCCTATAAATTGTAACTTCTAATCATCATCGCCTCATCCATCACTCACAAAATGGCAAAAAAACAAATGCAAAGGAAGGGGAGCTAGTACAAAGAGAAAAATATATTATCCAATCACTTGGAAAAAGTAACGTGGGAAGTAGAAACATAAGGGCGTGTTTGGTTTGCATATGCAAATTGGAATTGGAATGAAATATTTGATAATAATATGGATTTTTGTGAAAGTATTTTACTTGTTTGGTAATAAAGTGGAATTGGAATAATTACTAATATTGATGTTTGGTTATGTATGACCTTATAATGAGAATATAAATATTTAAAAATACAAAAACAAAATATCAAGACAATTGATCCTAATAGAATGATATCTAAATGAACAAAAAAAAAAATCAAAACAAAAATCTAAAAACACTAACCAAACTTAAAAATCATATTACCAATAAGATGGAATGATACCTTTTTAAATTAAGGAATGAGATTTTAATTGAAGGTGTAATCAAATCCCATAGTTGTGTTTTAAAAAGTTGTCAACCAACACTACAAGAAAAATGCACATAGACAACGGTTAATAACCGTTGTCATAGGGGTATAATTTCTGTTGTTGAAGCCGGTGTTGTTGTAAGTCCCGCGCATAGACAACGGTTTTTTAACCGTTGTCTTTTCCAGAAACAACAACGGGTTTTTAACAGTTGTCTATTAAGTGTTGTTGAAGTTGGTGTTGTTGTAAGTCACGCACATAGACAACGGTTAATAACCGCTGTCTTTTCTAGAAACGACAACGGTTTTTTAACTGTTGTCTATTAAGTGTTGTTGAAACCGGTATTGTTAAAAGTCACGCACATAGACAACAGTTAATAATCGTTGTCTTTTCTATAAATGATAACGGTTTTTTAACTGTTGTCTATTAAGTGTTGTTGAAACCGGTGTTGTTAAAAGTCACGCATATAGACAATGGTTTTTAACCGTTGTTTTTTCTATAAATGACAATGGTTTTTTAACCGTTGTCTATTAAGTGTTGTTGAAACCGGTGTTGTTAAAAGTCACAAACATAGACAATGGTTTTTAACCGTTGTCTTTTCTAGAAAAGACAACGGTTTAAGAACTGTTGTCTATTGAGTGTTGTTGAAACCGGTGTTGTTAAAAGTCACGTACATAGACAACGGTTTTAAACCGTTGTCGTTTCTTTCAAAGACAACAGTTTTTGACCCGTTTTCTATTCAATGTTGTTGAAACCGGTGTTGTTAAAAGTGATGCACATAGACAACGGTTTTTAACTGTTGTCTTTTCTTTAAAAGACAACCGTTATAAACTGTTGTCTATTGTGTATTGTTGAAATCGCTGTTGTTAAAAGTCACGCCCATAAACTGTTGTCTTTTGTATAAAAGACAACAGTTTCAAACTGTTGTCTATTGTAAAATAGACAACGGTTTTTAACCGTTGTCTCAATCCATTCTTAACCTGCTTAAATTTTAATCATATAAAAAACAATCAATTTATCCATTCACCATGGCCAAGTCTAGTTACATAATTTTGCAGAAACTAAGCAAGGTTCAAAATAACAAGTCAAAATACTTTTATTACCAATTCTAATCGAATCATCATCCAAGTCATAATACTACAAAAAACAATTCTACGAACCAAGTCTAAATGATTACAACGTCAAATCATACCTACTCTATATAACTTGATAGAATATCGGCCCATTCTGAACGCACCAGATCAATAACCGTTTTGTCATAATCAACTTGTTGGAACTACATGTAAAAAGTGAGTAAATAAATTAGTATAGATATAATAAATTTGCAATGAAATGCGAAATAAGTTAGGTGTAATTCGGAAAGCCAAAAAGTAGGGTTATAGCGCAGAAGAAAGTCAAATATTTGCTAATTTGCTGAAAAGAAATTCCCATATTAAAGAATTGAAGTTGAACTTCCATGAACAACAGAACAACAGCAAATTAACTGCTTTTTCAAACACATTATTATAAACATCACAGCTAAGAAAAATATAGCAGTTCTAAAGACAAGAAAGGATACTTGAACTTAGATTTACACTCCAATCAAAAAATCCCAAATGGTGTGTAGACTAAATGTTGCTCAATTTCACTTAACATATCAAAGCCCAAAAAAAGCATATTTTGCAAACAGAGGAGGTATCTATACACTACACAAGAATAAAAGTGAACCATTGATGCAGAATTGATACAAAGAAACAAAAAGTGGGAAAAGTATGCAACTAAGAATATCTTGCTCAAATATGTTATCACAACCACATCCAAAACCTATACAATCTAATATATAATCTCACAATTAATATAAATTAATAATCAGAAATTTCTATAGATATTAGCTCACTTTAGAATATCCTTCATTGTTCATATAGTAAAAATGATAACCCGCATTTAAGTAATTAAAAAGAAAAAGGGGAAAACATTCATATTTTTATTAACAATGAAGGAGTATAATATCAAAGATTAAATGCGAATGTTGATATACAGACCTAGTTTTACCGAGAAAAAAAAAAGATATTTATTAGCAATAAAATAACATGCAGTTTTATCATTTGTCCTAGTAATACCTGAAATACTGTGTAGGAAAACAAAAATGAACAAACAACACTAAATGTAAATCAGGAACAGTTTGGATATATCCTGTGAAAACAGTGAAATCCAACAGTTAAATGCAAATCTAAAGTTACCCTGACATGCATTTCTCAATGAGATGGATACAGGAAGTAGTAACTGTCCATGCAATTAAGAAAAACACACAAGTATCATGTAAAAATTCCTATACACATTCATTAAGCAGAAATTCCTATCAGAGCATTCACTTAGTAACCTATTATCACAATCAAAATTCTTTCACCTTCTACTTGTTTTTGATTTGGGGCATTGCAGCTTCTACATCTTGTTTCTTGTTTTCTTAATGTTGGTTTTTCTTTTTCGTCTCACTTTAGATTGCAGGTGGACTTACTAAAACATGGCATATCTGACCCATCATCTCTATTGCTCTCTTCAATTTTTTCAAGAGAAAGTGAAAGGGTGGTAGGGAACAAAGATTTACCAAATTTAAAAAAGAGACCATTGTCACATATTCAACAACTCCCTGTAAAAGTGTAAAGTCTCTTCCGAATTTAATTTTCAACTCCAGACAGGTACAACTGCCCTACATATCCTCCCTTTTTCCTCCACATCATTTAAGCCTTCCTCCTACGTATACATAAACTTGTTGCATGACTTGATATATGGCTTAATGGTTAACTTTAGAACTAAGGATGCTTCCAAGGAATTATATGGCTTAATGGTTCTTTAACTATAGTGTGCATATCCAACTTGGTGAGTACAAACAACTTAAAACACATAAATTTCTAGAATAGACTATTTGAATGCAATAAAATTATGTAAAAGTTAAGCATAAGCACATTTTTATCTCTCAACATTCATTTCATTTCAACACGAAATAGGTATGCATCATATTTCCAAGAAACTCAAATGCATCATATTTCCACTTTGAAACATCAAATAAGAATAATTTTAAACACGAAATAGAAATGGAATGTATTACTAGTGCTTGAACATAATTTTTATCATCAATGTCTGGCATGTTCTCAATTAACGAGGAGCCTACAAATGTTAAATAATATTTGCATTATTTATCTATATACAAACACTTATATCTAATTAGTTAGAAATATTAAATTACCTTGACAATTTCCCAAGCAGTTTTACTTCGTCCTTTCTTTCCATTCGCAGAGGACGCATGAACCATTTTAATAGCTATATATATATATATATATATATATATATATATATATAGAGAGAGAGAGAGAGAGAGAGAGGATCATATGAGGTCATGTTCCCACATGAGGTCTAAGGTCAAAATCTGGCATTTGATTGTGCGTTGATCTATGGTTGTTGTTTTTTTGGGTTTTTATTTTGTCTTTATTTTTCTTTTGTCGCGTGAGTGTGTAAGGTCCTTTTTGTCTTTGTGTTTTTCTTTCCTATTTATTGGGTGTCTTTGTCGGCTGAGTTGCTCATTTTTAGGAGTTTTATACATGGTAAATAAAGATTTTGAGCGTTTATATTCTGATGTAGCGATCCACTTTATACAGTTTCTAGTTTTTGTGATTTTTCCTTGCATCGTTTCATAGTTATTCAATTTTTTCATCTTTCTCTGCGTGAAGGCTTATGGATTCTCCAGGTTAGTTTTTTCGTTTGTTTCTTGTATATCTTTATTGAGCATCGGTTGGTGTTTGGTTTGTGTATAAGTATGTGTCTATTTGTATGGCATGCGTTTTAGGTGTTGTGGTTTGATGTTATTTATGGAGTTTTAATTTTTATATATAAGTCGTGGGTCTTGGATTAGTGATTGTTTATTTGGTTTGGTTTTATGTCGTAGTTGTATTTGTGTTTTTCATTTTTTAATAAGTGCAATTGGCATATGTTTTTCGTTATAAATTGTTTTGCTAATTTATGCATTTCGGTATTTGTTTGACATTATGGCTTATGTGTGCTGGTTTTGTGTTCGATGATAGGATATTGCCTTGGTAGTTTGTGCATTTCGGTGTACATGGTTTTTGCATTTTATATTGGTTTGAAGGTTTTTGGTATGTGGGTGGTGGGTGGTAACTTCGTAAAGTGCATGTTTTGGTATTTTATATGTGCGTGTTTTCGTTTTTTAATAAGTGTCATTGGCATATGTGTTTCGTTATAGATTGTTCTGCTAATTTATGGATTTCGGTGGTGGTCTGACAACATGGCTTGTGTGTGCTGGGATTTGGTTCGCTGTTAGGATATTATGTTGTTAGTTTTGTGCATTTCGGTGTACATGGCATTTGCATTTTATATTGGTTTTGAAGATTTTTGGTTTGTAGGGGGTAGGGGTTTTCTTCGTAAAGTGCATTTTTTGTTATTTCATATGTGCAAGCAGCTTGTTTTTTTTTTTTTTTTTGGAATGTTATGCATGTCGTTTTTATTTGACTGGTTTTGTGTTTGTGTGTATATTTCTGTTTGATGTTTGTGCAGCACGGTCGGAATCGCTGCAAGGGTGTGTTATGGACGTGTCCCCCGATGGGACTAAGTTTTGGACGCCTTCGTGTGATGAGGCGGTTAGGCCTTTTGAGGGGCATACTTTTCCTTCTCTCGCTCACGGTATTGATTTTTATCGTCAATATGCGTCTCTCGTTGGTTTTGATGTACGTTGTAGTTCGTTGCGTAGGAATAGGGAGGGTGTTGTTGTGAAAGACTTGTTGGTTTGTTCGCGTGAGGGGTTCAAGCAGGCGGTGCAGGGCTCTGTTGTTGTGGATGCTGCGTTGGATCAAGCACCTGTGGCTCCGAAGCGCCGGCGTGTTTCAAATTGGGTGGGTTGCAGAGCGAGATTGGTGTTGAAGATGGTTGATGATGGGGTTTTTGTGGTGCATTTCATTGAGCACCGGCATAATCATTGTTTGTGCTCGGATGTGGCTAAGCCTTTCTTGCGAGGCAATCGTTCCATGGATGTGCAACATCAGATTTTTGTGCTTAAGTGTGCTAGGGCCAACGTTGGGCCCAATAGGTCGTTTCGTTTGGCTAGGGAGTTTGCTGGGTCGTATTCAAATGTTGGTGCGACATGTGTCGATTTTAAAAATTTGAAGCGTGATTTAATGGCATTTATTGGAACTTCAGATGCTCATATTGTTGTGAAAAAATATGCTAAGAAGGTAGATGATTGCCCGGATTATGTCTTTAGATATGATGTTGATTCCAAACTTATGAAAAGCGAGCGCTAGCGACGCGAGCGATCCGAAATCGCTTCGCCTTGGTGAGGCGCAGCTTCGTGACTAAGCGTGCGCCTTTTGTGCTGTTCGGCGGAAGCGGTGAAGCGCACAAAGGTGTTGCTTTGTCACGAAAAGCGCAAGTCAACGGTCAGTTTTATAAAAACAATTAAAAAAAAAAACCTAAGCTAATATCGCGAGTCGCGAGTTGCGACTGGAGGAGAAGATTCGCAGAGAAAAAAAAAACCTTTGCCGCTTCTTTCCTCTACGGCTCTACCCCTCTCTAAGGCTCAAAGCTGCTCTCCACCTCTCCTTTCTCGCCGACCACCGCCCTCGCCGACCGCCACCTTCGCGAGTCCTCTGTCCACCTCGCCTGCTCGCCATTCACACTGCTGAGTGGTGACTGGTATCGCTGTTTAGTTTTTTTTTTTTCCTCTTCCGTAAAGATGGAAGATACATATGTTATATTATTTATATGTGAGTTGAAGCCTTAATTTATGTGAGTTAGGCAGTAGGCAGTAGCCTATTAGGACTTAGGAGTGTAGACAGTAGAGTGTTAGCTAGTGTCATAATTTATTTTTATTAAATGAATAAATGATAATATCTAATAAGATTAAGAGTTAATATAAGTTAATAAATTTTGAAAATTACAATTTACAGTTAATTAGTTGAGTATTTATCATTTTAGGAGTTATTTTGGATGTTATTTTGCACAATTATTTGAAGTTTTTGACTATATATATGCATAATTTATATATATTTAAAGCGTTGCTTTTTGTGAAAAAGCGACGCTTCGCTTTGCGCTTTCACTTTAAAGCAAAGCCCGGCCTTGTCGCTTTAGTGCGCTTTTCCGCTTTAAAAAGTTTGGTCGATTCTCAGGATCAGTTATGTAGGGCTTTTTGGGCTGAACCTATTGCGAAGGAAAATTTTTCAGCTTTTGGAGAGGTGGTGTCGTTTGATGCAACTTATGGGACTAATAGGTAAGCCACGTGTTCTTAAAAAAAACTTTCTTGTAGTTGGATTTTTTAAAAAAAATTACTGGTATGTGCAGTTTGTTCTTATGTATTTGTGTATGCAGTATGCTAAAAACCATGGGGTTTCTTTTCGTTGGTTTGGTGTTATGTCTTGCAGGTATGGTATGGTATTGGTTCCGTTTACTGGTGTTGATAATCACAAGAGAGGCGTCACATTTGCAATGGGGTTGATTTCTCGTGAAGATGTGGACTCTTACGTGTGGCTTCTCTAGCAATTTAAAAGTGCAATAGGTTGTGTGCCTAGTTGCACTATCACTGATCAAGATCCTTCGATGCGGGTTGCAGTCTCACAGGTGTTTGATACTACGCGGCACAGGTTTTGTATGTGGCATATAATGTCAAAGGTTGGCGAGAAGGTTGGTAATGTTCTATCTAAAGATGAGGAGTTTCGGCGTGCGTTGAATGATGTTGTTTGGTGTGAGACATTGTCCGCGGAGGAGTTTGAGCGGGGTTGGCAGGACGTTATCGAAAAGTATAGCCTTAGTGACCATCGATGGTTTTGTCTTATGTATGATCTGAGATCGTATTAGATCCCTGCGTATTTTAATGATATATTTTCATGGGTGGTTTGCTTCGCACGACATCTAGGTCCGAAGCTGCGAATAGTGTGTTTGGTAGTTGCACAAACCAGCATGCTAGTTTGTCTGAGTTGTTCAACAATTTTGAAGGGGCTATTGATGCTCAACATTTGGCGCAGGCCAAACTGAATGCCGAATGTGAGGGCCACTTTCCCTTGTACCAGACTCCGTTGTTGATTGAGAAGCATGCTGCTGCGGTGTATACTGTCAATGTTTTTTATGATGTGCAAGTCGAGGTTATTGCGGGATCTTTTTCGTGTCGCTCTGTGCGTTCAAATGTTGTAGGGATGGTAACCCGGTATGAGGTTCAAGATGGTGATGAACCGGTGCGCACCGTGACTTTTGATTCTGGTAATGTTGTTGTCGAGTGCACGTATAACATGTTTTCACGGGTTGGGTTACTTTGTCATCATATTTTCTGGGTTTTCAAGGATCGTAGGGTTGTTTCTATCCCATCTCGGTATTTGATCGCACGTTGGACAAGGGGGGCTTGTGTGCGGCAGGTGTTGGGTGTTCAACGTGGGGGCGCTTCGGAGGTAGATGTCGCAATTGGTGAAGCGTGGGCTGAATTTTTTTCGTGCGTGACCATGGCATCACGGAGTGTTGATCATGTTTCCAAGTTGAATGCAGCTTTGAAAGATTTCAATGCTTTTTTATTGGCTGAGAATGGTCCTAGCGTTCGCTCTTCTTCTTCTAAGAAGCAACTTTTTGAGTCGTTTTGCGGTGCTTCGCCCGATGGTCAAGTTGATGTTCGTCCTCCTCCAATCTATAATAACAAGGGTGGTGGCAAACGTTACAAAAGTACAAGGGAATTAGGTATTGAAAAGTCGGGTCGTCGCCAACGCCAATGCCAAACGTGTGAAAAGTATGGGCATGATAGTCGTACTTGCCCGATGCGCAACGTTGACGTATGACGAAAGGGGGTCGTACTGCTCTTTGGATTAAATTTAAATTTAAACACATTGCTATGTTTTTTACTTCACTACTGACTTGGTTTTATTCCGCATTTGGTGGTGGTTTTCAATAATGGATTTGGTGTGTTTTGTTAATTGGATTTTTGTGTTTCTATTCCGTGAAATAATTTTATATTATCCGTTTTTTATATAAGTTGGTCGTTGTATTATTTCATTCTTTTTTCTCTTATTCCGGAACCACCCCTAACTTGCGCAGTATAGGTTTCTGCCGTTGCACATGGTTGCTGGAATTTTGTGCTTATTTGCACGAATCCTTCCGTCGATGTTGCACAACAATTCATTTGTCTAGTAACCGACTATACGCCTTCGTTGTTTTTTTTATTTTGCTTCCTCTCTTGGTTAACACCTGCCTAATGAACAGTTTATGTTAGGTACTGTGATATTGTATTTGTTTTTGAGTGGTGTCTTGCACATTCGGTCTCTTTGATGTACCATATTATTTCGACTAAGGAGTGTCATGCAAACATGCCTGTTATTAAATCTTCAATGTTAAGTTTCTTTATTACCGGTGCACCGACGACTCACCTACCGTGTGTCATGCAGCACATCCCACTTGCACAGTACTGTTCGTTGTCGGTGCACAAGGTGACTGGATTTTTGCGCACGTATGCTTCCATCAATGTTGCACAACACTTCATATGTACTATGTATGACTATACGTGTTTGTCTGTTTTATTTTTGATTCCCCTTTTTGTTAACTTCCCCCCAACGCACAGTTTAGGTTTTTGTACTACCATACCACCACCGTGCTTCTACACAACCGATCAACTACACAGCCATGTTTTCCACTGATGGTAGTCGTAAAAAAAAATAAATAAATAAAATAAAATATATAAAAAAAAAACAGAACAACCATCGTCTATCACCGCATACGGAGGTTCTCACCGAAAACTTCACAGTACTATACCCCTATTCATGTTTATTTCTCCCCAACCCTGCCGGTATTTCAGATTCCGGCGATTCAGCCGACATCAACAACTACACGCACGGTTTTTTTTCCCCAAATCAAACCCACCATTCTCCGGTTCCCTAACACATAATCAACTAACACATACATGCAATTCCATTTTGCACTCAATCGCTCCTAAAAAATCAGACTGTTTATTTAAAAAATAAAAATAAAACCACTTACGCAGTCTGCTCGTTGCGTCGATCGACGCACGCCGGGTGCTCCGCCTTGGGGTTCCGTCAGCCATTGGGTCCGGTGTTGAAGTCACCGGTCGGAGTTCGTCGTTGGCGCTGTCGGTTCGTCTGCTCCAAGTCTCTCCAGTGTGCAAAACCGTCAGTCTCCTTAGTATTACCAACTTCGAACCCTACGCTGTCAAGAACCGTAAACAAAGGGATTTCCTTCATTGTCTTGCACAATTAAGAGTATAATTACTTGTTTACCCCCAACTTAATTACTAATGAAGTAACAACGCAGCGTTAGTGGCGTTTGAATTCCATCTAGGCATCATTTTTGGGCCGTTAGATCATCTCATCTAAGGGTGGGATTTTATCCTCAAACCTCACCTAACACATAAACCTCACTAGAACCTCAACAATATATATATATATATATATATATATATATATATATATATATATATATATATATATATATATATATATATATATGATATTGCTAATTCTACGCAAGCAATATAAAATAAACCCGAGACCAATTAAAGCAAGTAAAAGACTTTATTGATCGCGGTAAAGGCCCTAAGTACAATCTACTTGGTTGCTCTGAGTGCCGACTGACTACGGTCGGGATTCTCTAGTAACAACCTATCGATCGTCCAAAAGTCCTCTACACTGTAGCTACTGTGGGTATTTATAGCCGCTGTGCCGGGGACAAGATTCCAGCCGTTCGGCATGTTCTCCACGTAGCCACCACGTGTCATCCTCCCGGGTGCCCTGTCTGTCATCGTAAAGAGCCGCCACGTGTCCTTTGTCAGATCTCTCGCCAAAGGGCTACCGCTCGGTGGTCGACACTAACGCTCGGGCAATTCCCGGTCGCTTCCCGACCAGGTTCTTCATAAAAAGCCCGACCTGCTACCTGCAAAGACAAAAGACAAAGACAAAGGCAAGTCGGTCGTGGTGAAGCTTATGTCGGTCGGGATATTCCCTACCAAAAGCCCCCCAGCCCGGGCCTTTTTGATCATCCGGGAAAAAATGGGACGGGATGAAGAAGCCCAAACGTCGGCCGACTAACCGACCGACCAGCTGTCATTCCTTCCCTCGCCACGTGTCGGCCACTGCCGGCCTCGGAATCAGTGCGGGTCGTGTCACGCAAGTGGATTGGTTTCCCGCCTAAATGCTCTCCTATAAATAGGCCCTTGAGGCCTTCATTTGAACTTTCCTCAGTCCACTGAAGCAATCGGTACCCTCAGAGAGTCCCGAGCAGCAGTTCAGCGAACCAGTCGAGCAAAGCCAAGCTTCAAGTTTTCTTCAAAATATCACCAATCGGTAAGCTCTTGATCCCTTAGCTTTTACTTTGCTTTTAGCCTTGCGTAGGAGTAGGATAGGACTAACTTCGAACTAACCTCCCGACCCTGTACTAACCCCGACCGACCTTTAGGTAGAAAACATGTCGGATTCGGATAGCCAGAACGCCTCGATCGCAGACTACGACAACACGGTCGAGCACAGCAGCGAAGAGGTGGACATCATGTCCTATTCCCCAGAGGTCGAGCAACGACCACAGCCCACACATGACCGAGCCCCCGAGCCAGCAGGGTCATCAAGCTCTTCAGGGACCTCGGGGTCGAGCTCCAGCGAGTCGGGGAGCGAGGCAACGTCCACGAGCGGACGAAACTACCCGGACGAAGGCGTCAGGGAAACGCCTACGAGGGTAATTGGGGATTACCCTCAAACCGAGCCCGAGGAAGGAGACCGGGCCAACGAAGCCGAAGCGGATGAGGAAGACCCGGCCGGGCCGGCGCCGCCGAACGGGAACGGGTTTGAATTCCTCAACAGCGAGAGCGTCGAAGGCCAGAGGAGCTTGCTGACAAAAGGAGAGGCAAGCAGAATCGCGGCAACTCTCGCTGGTCGGGTCGAGTTCGACACCAGCAGGCAGCTCGGAAATATCATCGAACGACATCAGGGGAAATGGATCGGGATGCATTACGATTCGCTAATGGCCACGATCACATTCCCCTTTTCCAGCCTCCTCACCGCATTCCTGGGCTACTACCAGGTTATGCCCGGGCAGATTTGCCCGAACGCACATCGGATAATCGCGTGCTTTCCCCAGATTTGCAGTCGGCACAACGTAGCCTGCACGATGGAGCTCTTCAACTTCGTCTACCAAGTGAAGGTGCTGGCGGCTGCGTATGGGGGTGGATTTCTGATGACACAATCCGGAGCGGACAAATGCTCGATCGAAGGGCTGCCCGGGAACAACCGGGGATGGAAAAACCGGATCTTCTCAGTGAAGTACGATCCGTGGATCCTCCCGGTCGAGAGGGTCTAGAGTCAGCGTTTCCGAAGACAAGTCATCCCAACCGAGACTCAGGCCATTATAGACGCCGTCACCAAAATCTCGGGCGAAATCTACGAGTACCAAATCTTCAAGACGCCCGAGTCCCTCGAAGCGGCTAACTTGCCCGAGCCCGTATATAATATACCCGATAAGTACAAGCCCGAGCCCCGGGGCGTTACGATCGCAAGGATGCCCGCCCGGGGTAAACGAAAGGGCAAAGGTGCAACATTAGCCCTTTTCTCCGACCTCAATTGCCCGACTGGGCCTTTAGCTCGATCTAACCTCCTTTGTTTTGTTTGCAGAGATGGCCGGCTTCGGAGACGAGGACGCCCCGCTACGCCCGGTGGCCAAGATTTCCCTTGGCAAGAAGAAGGCCCAAGCCAAGCCGACCGGGGAAAAGGAGATCCTGGTAGCCCGACCCATAGGGGCGTCGACCGTCACCACGGCTGAAGGCTACGTGGTAGACACGTCGGAGGTCCTGGTCGCCCGAGTGGCGGTCGGAAAGGGCAAAGAAAAAGTGAAGGAGAAGACCGCCTCGGAGACCAGGGCCCTAAAGCGGCAGCGCGAGCAGCATAGCCCGACGCCCTCAGGCGGTGGCAGCAGAGGTGGTTCCTCGATCCTCGCCCGGATCGGGAATGCTGGGTCGGCTAAGGAGGATATCTCCAAGCTGACCCCGAGCCAGGTAGCCGAGATGATCGGCCACGACCTGGCTGAGGTAAACACTTTTCCATCTTTTAAATTTTCTTCTAAGTAACTCCACCCGGCTAACATTCGATCGTGTTGTGCCCTGCAGATCTCCCGAGCGGCCCAGTTCCTTCAACAGCGGGCCTTACAGGCCAATGAAGCCGAGGCCCTGAAGAAGGTCGCCAACCGGCGATTACAAGAGATCCGGGACCTTGAGGCCGAGCTCAAGAAGGTGAAAGCCGAGCGGGACCTCTCGGAGCAGGTCGCCCAGCAGGCGATCGGGGAAGCGGCCGAACTTAGGGCTCGCCAAAATGACCCGGACAAGCTCGCCCAACATCTCTTCCAAGATACCAAATCGGGCGCTCGCTTTCTCCAGTCCGTTCGGGGCACAGAGGTCGGGGAAAAGCTGGTGTGGACGTTTGGCCGGTGGGCGTACAAAGCCGGTCAGCGAAAAATGCGCGACCAAACCAAGAAGATCATGGAGCAAGCCCTTGAAGGGGATGATCTCCAGTTGGTCTTGACCACACTCCCCGACGACGTAGCCGACCCGGGGCCAGCACCTTTTTATCCGAAGGATCGGGCCACGGCGAGCGGAGCTGAGGCCGCCCCGAGCGGAGAGGGTGATGCCGAAGCGAAGAAGTAGAGTAGGTTTGAGCTTTACTTCTTTTTGTAAATGACGCTGGTCGGGAGCCCGGTCCCGAGTTGTACCGGGCGCCTTTTGGTTAATAATAAATTCCATTTCGATCCAAGTTGTGCCTTTCATTTTTTGCTTTACATTTTCGTTTCCAAC